CTCAGCACTGCAGTGCATGCCTCCCAAGAACATGGCACGGAACATGGGGGCTGGGTATCAGGTGTGAGCAGAGCAGTCTCTGTCCTTGTGGAATGGACAGACTGGCTCCGTGGCCACATCCTTCTCCAGGGACTGCGTGGGGACTGTCCCTCGTGGAGGATCAGGGCCACCATGCATGAAGTGGCTGACTCACTGATCCCCTGCTGAGGGGCACGCCTCCCTCCACTGGCATCCACCAAGCCAAGCCTGGTTGCTGCCGAGGCACTGCTGGCTCGGGAAGCCCTTGTGTCACCCACAGACCTTGCTCCTCTGGATATCCTGGATGGTGATAGTGTGGAAGTTGAGGCTGGAGGTGCTGAAACCAGACCGTCTTGTGTCCAAACCCTGGCTCTTCACCCTGTGTGTCCTTGGCCAAGCCATTTAACTCCTCTGAGCCTCAACTGCCCATCGATAAACCATGAATGATAATAACAGGATCTTCTTCGAGGAGTTATTCTGAGAATTAAACCAGATAAGGTAAAATATAGCAAACCTTAGAGCCTATAACATGTGCTCAAGAAGTGTTAAGAAAGATGTAATTGTTATGATAATAGATGACAATCATAATATTGTCGTTACTGAGACCTTTGGCTTGGGGAGGTTGGCTTTACAAACCTACAATTCACCAAGAGCCTTTGTGGTCTGAGAGGTTGCCTTCTGTTACAAGGTGGCTGCTGCAGCTCTAGCCGTTGAGTCTACTTTCCAGGACAGAAGGTGGAGAAAGAGGTAAAGCCCTATTTTTGTAAGTAAGGGTCGGTCCTCCTAAGGGAGGACCTCACTGCACCAGAAGTGTGCACCTCACTGGCCAGAAGTGTGTCACATGGACAACCCTAGCTGCAAGGGAAGCTGGAAATTTGCATTTTTTTAAAGGGGGACTCACTGTCTTTGCAAACTAAAGCCGATGGGCTGCGTTAGCACAAGGGTCTGCCCCAGCTTCCTTTGCCCCCTGGTGTGGACCTTTCCTCTGAGTGGGCACACCACACCCCCTTTTCCTTGGGGAGGAGGCCCCTGGGGACCTGCTGTATGGCCTGCCTGCTGGTCTGGTTGTCCCCCCAAGGACAGCACCGTTGGTAACAGTCAGCTCCCTGGGGCAGGAGGGCCACCGTTTCCCAGGTCTGGTTGTCCCCCTGAGGGCAGCACCGTTGGTAACAGTCGGCTCCCTGGGCAGGAGGGCCACCGTTTCCCAGGTAGTGTTTACTTCCTGCCACCATGGCCAAGAGAACTCTGCTAAATCTATGGGTCTGGGGCCCCTCTACCCAGGGGACTGAGGACACTGCAGTTACCCAGCATCAGCAGAAAGGTACCCAATCAATCTTTGGGCAAAGGCCAGGACAGTTTTCTCCAGAAATGATGACTCCTTCCTCAGTAGCTGCCTTGCCTTTGGCAAATGGCTTTCTCCTGTTGCTGGGTCACCAGCCTGAGCTATACCAGATGCTTAAGAAATACCATCTTCATCTCATGCCCTCTAGCTGGGGGCCGACAAGAGAGCTCTGTGTAATCATGGCAGCAGTCTAGATTGGCACTGTCCCCTACCCTAGCTCCTGGCCATGTGGGTGCACTTGAATTGTGGCTATAGAAACTGAGTTTTCCATTTTAATTAATTTATATGTAAGATAGTCACCTGTGCCTAGCAGGTGCCATACTGAGCAGTGCAGCTGTAGACCCCATCCATGATGGGAGAAACACAAAATCCGTAGCATTCATCTAGACTCATAAAGAGTGGGTCCCTCTAAGGGTACCCATGTTGTGAAGGCCCAGAGAGAGACAGTTACTGGCCCAAGGTCACACAGCAAGGTAGTTCCACTGAGGAAGAAGCCCAAGTCTTCCAACTGCAGCTTTTTTTTTTTTTTTTTTTTTGGAGATGGAGTCTTACTCTGTCCCCAGGCTGGAGTGTAGTGGTGCAATCTCGCCTCACTGCAGCCTCCGCCTACTGGGTTCAAGTGATTCTCCTGCCTCAGCCTCTGGAGTAGCTGGGATAACCACACCTAGCTAATTTCTGTATTTTTAGTAGAGACGGGGTTTCACCACGTTGGCCAGGATGGTCTCGATCTCTTGACCTCGTGATCCACCCACCTCAGCCTCCCAAAGTGCTGGGATTACAGGCGTGAGCCACCGCGCCCAATCCCAACAGCAGCTTCTTTATTGTTTCTTCAGAAATGTGGTTGCTCCCTGCTGTGCAGAGGGGAAGATGAGCTGTGGACACAGTGCTGCATGTACCAGGCACATGTCAGCGCCTCACACAAGTCTCATTTATTTCCATCTCCCCCGTTTTACAGGTGAGGCAGCCGAGGGCCAGGAAGGAGAAGTGCCTGCCTATGGTCCCTGAGCTGGTGAACTGAGAGGCTGTGCTCTTGGACCTTAGGCTGTGATTGTGGTCCCAGGATTACCTCCACTCCTGCAAGAGTCTGGGGCATGTGAGACCTGGGCCTCCACACCCAGCTGGGCAGGTGCAGTTAGCAAGCTCCGATAAGCGTCTCTCTTTCCATGGAGTTGTTTTTCCAGCCTGGTCTCTGAAGACTTGGCTCCTGCAGTGGCTGCACCTGGTGACCCGCCCTCCAGGTTCCCATCAGCTTGTTCACAGCTTGCCTGGAGCGGCAGGGCTTAGGCGTCAGGTACACCTGTTAGGAAGGTGCGCACAGAAAAAAATCTGCCTTTGCCGCTGTTAGCCAAAGAGAAAGACACATGGTGCCCAGCTCCATCTGGCTCTCTGCTCTCATCTGAGTGAGGGTGCAGCGAAGACCTTGGCAGACGCTTTCCAGTGCCTGCCCCGCCTCCCTGCTGTGCAGCGCTCAGGCACAGCCCGCTCCCCTGGTTGCCCCATTTCATGGTGTCCAAATCCCCATGAGATGGGAGTAGCGCTGCTGGAGTAAAACACAAGACGCCCAGTTACATTTGAATTTCAGATACGTGATGAATCAATTTTTAATGTAAGTATGTTTCCATGCAGTAGTTAAGACATATACTGAAGATGATTTGTTGTTTATTTATCTGAAATTCAAACCTAACTGCGCGTCTAGGGGTGTTTCTTTGCCATGACTCTGTTTTGTTTTGCTTACTCTGGCAACCCTAAGTGGGTGGCATCCATGCAGCATTCATGACAGCTGAGACCCAGAGAAGTGACCTGAGGCTTGGGCAAAGTCATGACGAGGCCCCGGCCAGGCCTGGGTTTGAAGCCAAGTCTCTTGGAATTCGTTGCCTTCTTCCTGGACAACAGTAAACAGTCTTGGTGGCTTCCTCAGGGTGGTTGGAGGAGACCCAGATGTCACTTTAAAAAAAACAAAAAAACAAAACAAAGTGTAATCCCAGCACTTTGGGAGGCCAAGGCAGGTGGATCGCCTGACGTCAGGAGTTTGAGACCAACCTGGCCAACATGGTGAAACCTTGTCTCTACTAAAAATATAAAAAATTAGCTGGGAGGCGGGAGAATCACTTGAACCCTGGAGGCAGAGGTTGCAGTGAGCTGATCATGCCACTGCACTCCAGCCTGGGCTACAAGAGCAAAACTCCATCTCAAAAAAAAAAAAAAAAATTAAACAAAAACAAACCTGCCTCTTCTACCTGTGTGACAATGGACATACTGTTTGCAGTCACTCACATCTTACTGTGACATAGGCTCTTAGTGACAGCTGAGAGGGAACAGGGGCCCTGGTAAAATGAGAGATTAAAGAATATTAGAGAAAATTCCAGCCTTGGCGACTGCTAGAGACGGTGAGCTGAGGCGTGAGCGCTGAGGGGTGGTTGGGGTTGAGGCCTTTTGTAATCCGACCTCTCCAGCCTTCCTCCTGTTCTTCCTCACCTGCCACCCGTTTCCTGGTCACTCACAACCCTCCAGCTTTGCAGCCGCCTCCTTCCGCAGTCCCCTCATCCAGGACCCATCTGGCATGCCGCCAGCTTCTTGAAGGTGTCCGAGTGCTGCCAGCAGATGTGGCCCCTTCTGTGTTCTGTTTCTTCGTGTGTGCATCTATTTGCTGGAAGCTTCTTGAGGCCAGGGATCTTCCCTTCTCTCCTCTGGCCTAGGGTATAGGTGAGCCCCAAATGTTTATCCGGAATGAGGCCAGAGGTAGGGCACCAAGAGCCAACCTCCTACTTAGCAGTTTTGCTGAGAGACTTGGACAGTTCCCGGGCTGCCTCCGTGGCATATGAGGTTTGGGGGTCCTTTGACGGTGGGGTCTGGGAACACTAGCTTCAGAGTGGGGCCTGTGTGGGGCATTCACCTAGTGCCCCTCTGTGTAGATGGGTGGGTGGAGCCATTGGAGAAACATTACTGAGTGCCCAAGACATGTCGGTGCAAACACTGTTTCCAGCACTCGAGACCCCACAGTGACAGACAGGGCAGGATTTGTGACCGGGCCCTGCTCTCAGATACTATGTCCCCCGAGCACACAGCTGGGACGCAACGGAGCCTCCACGTCACTATGGGGTTTTGTCTGGGTTGCCTGCGTGCTGTTGACACTGGATGGGGTGGAGCCGTCTTAGGCCTCTTGAGTCTGTGACAGTGAGGCTGAGACAGACTGATGGGGAGGAAACCGTGAAGAGGGAGAGGAGCTCCCTGGCAGGTCACAGCTCTGTGGAGGCCCTGAGGTGCGGCGAGTCTAACGCCTTCCAGAATTGAGAGAAGCTGGCAGCCTGAAGGAGGCCTCAGACAGGGCCAAAGAGGCAGCTAATATGCCGGGTGGGGCAGGGAGGATGTCAGTCTGAGTGCAGGGACAGTGGCAATGGAGTCCTCAAGTGGTGGGGGGGGGCGTGTCTCACGAGGTGTGCTCTGCAGACTGTGGGTGGGGCCTAGAATTAGCACTGGGGCTCTTTGGAATAAGGTAGTGGCTTCAAGGCCTCCTCCTCCCTCCACACGTGTGGGAAAGGCCCTGAATGCAAAGCCAAAGCAACCTCACACCATCCCCAGAAAAAGCGAGTGAGCAGCCGCCGACAGTTCTGTCCTCTAACCCTGTGCCCTTCTCCCCTAGTGCTCCTTCGGGAAGAAGTGTCACGGCTCCAGGAGGAAGTTCACCTTCTCCGGCAGATGAAGGAGATGTTGGCAAAGGACCTGGAGGAGTCACAGGGCGGCAAGTCCTCCGAGGTCCTCTCGGCCACTGAGCTCAGGGTCCAGCTGGCCCAGAAGGAGCAGGAGCTAGCCAGAGCCAAAGAAGCTTTGCAGGGTGAGTGACGAGCCAGCGGCGGGTCTCTCACTGTGGGCTCAGGCCCCAGGGATCCAGGGTCCTCCCCATATGGGGAAGTGACGCGGATGGACAGAGGGGTCTCCCAGCACCCACCTCCAGCCATAGCTGCCCCGTCCCTTCTTCGGATGGAATTCTGCATCTTGCGGGGTGGGTGCAGATGTCATCCCTCCAGTGTGACTGTCACACACTGTCCATGTGGCTGGATGTGGGGTACCTCCCTCTGAGGTGTGAATGGCAGGTGGGCATCTTGGCTGGATCAAGACGCTGGCACAGCAGCTGGGTCTCTCTTATCCAGCACCCTCGGTGTCCTTCCGTGCCTCCACTCAGGGCACAGTGTGGATGCTCTGGTTTCTCTGCTGGAGGACATGTCTGTATCCCATGCGGTCCTCTTGCTCACGTGGTGGGCCCTCCTGGGCCTGGTGGAAGGAGTTGGAAGATGATATGGTGTAGACTCCAGAGGGTCTTTTGAAGACAAGCACCACAGACCCATAACTACCATGCGGCTGTTGTGTCTTCAGCCAGAAATTGCTTTAGGAGATGAGGAAACCGGTGGCCACATGCTCAGCCTCATTTCCCTGGAGGGACCCACATCCCTCTCTCCCAGGAGGCACCTGCCCATGCTCCATGGGGCTGGAAGAAGGGTTATTTGAGGGTCTCAGAGGGTTATTTGAGAAAGGTTGGAAGCCGTCATGTAACCTGTCAGTGGACTCCACAGTGCTTGGAGAGTGCAGGCCTGAAACATCTGGGAGAACTTAGCCTCAGGGGTCTGTGTTGATTCTGTTAGGCCCCCTTAGTGTCTTTGGTTCTTCTAGAAAAGACAATAAATCTTTGCGATCTGCTTTCCACTTACCATTCACTAGAACAGTGAATCCTCTTTAAAAATTTTGTTTCTGAAGCTAAAGTGGATTTATTAACCTAATAGGTTAATATCATGCTGCTGTAACAAAGAGAACCCAAAACATAGAGGCTTAAAGGTTCTATTTCTTCGTTAACCAGCCACCCCACAGTGAACATTTGAGGCTGATTGGGTGTCTGTGTTCCCTTCGGTCCTTTGCAAGAGCTTGGTCATGTGACCATTCCTAGATGCAGAGGATTCTGGGAAATGTAGTTTCTAGCTGGGATAGCAGGGTAAAGGGGAGAATGGATTTTGCTGGACAATTAATCGGCTCAGTCAGAGCCAATTGCCTGACAAGAGGTGTGATATGGGCAGCAGGCCAAGAAGGCTATCTGTCCAGTGCCCAGCTGACCATCCTCCAGGAAGTCTGGGAAGTCCTTGACTGAGGGTGAGCCTTGTATTCACAGTGTCCCAGCACTCTTGACAGGCGGCTCTTTTCAGCAGTACATGCTGCTCTCCAAGGCAGGTAGATGACCCTCCTCTCCTGGGGTTTTGTTTCTGGTGGGGTCATGGTGGCAGCATGTGGGGTGGTCTTTTTGAAGCTGTAATAGATATTGGGGTGCATTGTGGCCCAGCAGACATGGCATGCTTGGAAAGTCATTTTGCCAAGTAGGCACACTTTGCCTCTATGCAGCCATCCAGCCATCTAGGCAAATCTGTGTGGCCACCCTCCACGCCAGCTCCCCAGGATCCCATAATATCCCTTCCCCTTCTCAGGATGGAGGCAGCACCCACTCTGTGTCCTGGGGACAGGGACGCTGACCTCCATGTTTTTGAGCAGGGACAGGATTCTCACCCCTGTGTGCTCTTCTGGACCTGCGAGGAGGAGAAAAACCTTCCTTAGCTGTTCCTGGGCCTAAAAGGAATGGGCAGGGGGTTAAGCAGAAGCTCCCTTACCCCACCACCTCCAGCTCCTTGGATGTACAATCCAGCCTCTCCAAACCTCAGTTTCCTGATCTGAGGAATGGGACAATAACAGTAGCTTTGCGGGAGATTGTGAGAAGGAAACGAGGTAATGTCTAGAAAGGTGATGGATGGTTCCTGCTGTTAGCGTCATGTACATCCTTCTCCCTTTAGCCCACAGGCCACAGAGCTGTACAGACCATCCTTCCTAACTCTGTGCTGTAGGATTTCTTATCCACCGCCAGAGATCTTTGACCTTGCCCAGGGACGCAGATCTGCCCCTTTGTAGGAATATTAATATAAGCAACAAGGACTTGTCAGTGTTCATGAAAAGGGAGCTTTATTGAGCACCTACCAGGTCCCAGCTCTGTTCTAAGCATGTGATGCGCCATTCACCTCAGTCCTGCCAGGAGCTAGAAACCTAGCTCCTCAGGTGGAGATGCCTGAATGAGGTTCAGGGAGAGTAAATAACTTGACAGAGCTAATTAGCGGAAGAAGCAGAGACTTTTCCTGCTGCAGAGACTCCTCATCTTCCCTCTCGGTGTGGTCTCGGGGAAGGAAGTTGGCCCAGATGCGAGAGATAGAAGCGATTCTTACTTCAGTGGAAGTGACAGCAGACTCAAGTCAGATCTGGGCTTGAATCTCAGCTCTGCCACGTGTTAGCTCTGTGAGCTAGGATGCGTTCTTTGGTTTTTACTTTTTTATTTTACTTTAAGTTCTGGGATACATGTGCAGAACGTGCAGGTTTGTTGCATACGTATACATGGGCCATGGTGGTGTGCTGCACCCGTCAACTTGTCATCTAGGTTTTAAGCCCTGCATACATTAGGTGTTTGTCCTAATGCTCTCCCTCCCCTTCCCCCGACCCCCTGACAGACCTCAGTGTGTGGTATTCCCCTCCCTGTGTCCATATTTCTCATTGTCCAACTCCCACTTTTGAGTGAGACAATGCAGTGTTTGGTTTTCTGTTCTTGTGTCAGTTTACTGAGAATGATGGTTTCCAGCTTCATCCATGTCCCTGCAAAGGACATGAACTCATTTTTTTTATGGCTGCATAGTATTCCGTGGTATATATGTGCCACATTTTCTTTATCCAGTCTATCATTGATAGGCATTTGGGTTGGTTCCAAGTCTTTGTTATTGTAAACAGTGCTGCAATAAACATACATGTGCATGTGTGTTTATAGTAGAATGATTTATAATCCTTTGGGGATATATCCAGTAATGGGATTGCTGGGTCAAACGGTATTTCTGCTGGTAGAGCTTGGATGAATTCTTTAACCTCCCTGCATCATGGTTCATTTGCTGAGGGTAATGGTAACAATGCCTGTTTTTCCTATAATTGGGACTAATAAACAGTAGCTGCTTCACACAGTTGTTGTGAAGATTGAGGAATAAATTGCATGGCCTGGTGTGTAGTACCATTAGTGCCAATAGTGAGATCTGCTTGGAGATGTTGCCTGTCTGACTCTCATGAGGGGTGGCCCAGACCCCAGACTCCCCTGAGTCCATCCAAACTCAAGATAGCTGCATTCCTGAAAGGCAGTGAGATGGGCACCTTCAGCCACCACGAGCATCCTGCCTGGAATTCTACAAAGTCATAAATAAGAGGCTTCACCAGCCGCAGCACATGGTGAGTAAATTGCAGACAGATGTGGGCAGAAGGAGTCCAGGGCATGGAAAGGGATTTATATGCCCATAATGAGGAGAGGGAGAATAAACGTACAGGCCAAGCAAGCAGCAGATGCTGGGCGATACTTGTTAGCATCCAGTGTCCCCAGTGTGGGAAAAAGCAAAACCCCCAAAGGCCTGCACTCCGGCAGATTCCCTCTCCAGCCAACTCCCCCGCCGTCTCTGTGTTTGAATGAGACCAGAAATCTCTAGCTCGAGAGAGGAATAGGAACTCAAGCAGGCACCCAAAATGTCAGTCTGCAGTTGCAACACCAAAGTAATGAAGAGAATCTTGTTTGGGAAAAATGGGGGCTGAGAAGATTCCTTTGTTTCTTTGGAAATGAGTATGGGAATGTTTGGTTTTGGATTTTGGTCTCATCGTGAGCTTAAAGGCAGAAGCCTGAATGATTGTTTAAGATATATATATATATATTTTTTTTAAGACAGGGTCTCACACTCTGTCATCCAGGCTTGGAGTTGACTGGTGCAATTTCAGCTCACTGCAACCTCCGCCCTTCCAGGCTCAAATGAGCCTCCCACCTCAGCATCCAGAGTAGCTGGAACTATAGGCACACGCCACCATGCCTGGCGAATTTTTGTATTTTTTTGTAGAGACAGAGTCTTGCCCTGTTGCTCAGGCTGGTCCTGAACTCCTGGGCTCAAGCAATCCACCCAGGCTGGCTTTACAAAGGTCTGGAATTACAGGCATGAGCCCCCAAGCCCAGCTCATCAATGGTATCATCTTATATATAAACTGCATGAGCCCTGCCCAGCACATGTGGTAAGCATGTAGCCCAGGGGACCCCTCTGGGGTGTCTGTTGATTTCCTCAGCCCTCTTCAATTTCATGATTTCTCTGCGAATCAAGGCAGCACAGAAACAATGAGAGTGAAAATTTGCTTCATTCCTGTTTAAATCTCTTAACAGCATGTCAAGTGTTTTGAGCATATTCCCACAACAATAAATACTCTTTGAAACATAATTTTTAATGACTACATAATGTTGTACCAAATGGAGATACCATAATTTATTTAGTCGTTTCTCTATTATTAGACATTTAAATTGGTTCCACTTTTTTCTTTTTTTTTTTGCCATTATATAACACTGTCATAAAGATCTGTATATGTAAATCTGTTTACTATTGTAAGACACCATTTCTTTTTTTTTTTTTTTTTTTTTTTTGAGGTGGAGTCTCACTCTGTAGCCCAGGCTGGAGTGCAGTGGTGCAATCTTGGCTCACTGCAACGTCCACCTTCAGGTCCCGGTTCAAGCAATTCTCCTACCTCAGCCTCCCAAGTAGCTGGGATTACAGGCACGAGCCACCATGCCCAGCTAATTTTTGTATTTTTTTAGTGGAGACGAGGTTTCACCATGTTGGCCAGTCTGGTCTTGAACTCCTGATCTTGTGATCCACCTACCTCGGCCTCCCAAAGTGCTGTGATTACAGGCACGAGCCACTGCGCCCGGCCAAGACAGCATTTCTTAAAATAGTTGGGAAAGGAAGGATATGA